GGCATCACAATATGGTAAGGGGCGTAACATTTCCGTCACACGCTTGAGGTATTTGGCCAATCACAACGCACTAGATAGCTTTCCAATCAGAGCACACCGCACTTTTCAGAACGATGAGCTTTATAAAAATCGATGTGTTTCAGAAAGGCGGGGCATAGAGGAGCAACAATAATGTACGGTATGTGGAAAATAATGTGGTTTTTTTTACCTTAAACCGCGTAAACACATAGCATTACACCAAATACACAAAATAATGTTCTTTTTAGCAACATCATATGACCCCTTTAAAAGAATGGTTTCAAATATCACAAATATTTAATTCTGTTGATGGGGGAGATATATTGCGCTCTTTTTTTTTTTTGAGACACATTGCTTCAAGAGTTGTTTGTACATTTGCTGTATCTTTCAATGGAGTTTCTCCTTTCAATCTTTGTTTTATAGCTTTATATTTTAGAATGGCATCATCACAAAGGGATCATAATATTTGGTGGTCTTTGGAATCAAAAAGCTTGAAAGCCCATGGATTATTACATTTGAAGTTAGAATGTCAGTCAGTCAGTCAGTCAGTCATATTTATTTATAGAGCACATTTAAAAACAACAGCTGTTGTCCAAAGTGCTGTACAAAATTAAGCATATAACAAAATACAAAAGTAAACATAGAACACAGCGACAGATAGTACACTACAGTTATGCCACTGCGCTTACTTATGACCATAAGCAACAGTAAATAAATAAGTTTTAAGAAGAGACTTAAAATCAGCATATGTTGGTGCAGTTCTTATATAGGGTGGCAACTTGTTCCATAGCTGTGGAGCAGCCACTGAAAAGGCACGATATCCTTTCGATTTTAAGTGTGACCTTGGAACAGTCAACTGAAGACTACTAGTTGATCAGAGAGGAGAGAAGGAGATCAGAGATATATGATGGAGCCAGTCCATGGAAACCCTTATAGACAAACAATAATGTTTTAAAATGGATACGATATTTAACTGGGAGCCAGTGGAGAGAGATCAACACTGGTGAAATATGTTCCCTCTTCCTTGTTCCAGTTAACAATCGAGCGGCAGCATTTTGAACAAGTTGAAGACGAGACAATAGAGACTGTGAAACACCCAAGTACAATACATTACAATAATCTAATCTGGATGAGATAAAAGCATGTATTACAGACTCCATGTCTTTTATTGTTAAAAATGACTTCATCTTTGCAATATTCTTTAGCTGATAAAAACAACTTCTAACCACAGCATTGATCTGTTTATCGAAAGTCAAAGCAGAGTCAAAAGTGATGCCTAAGTTTCTGATTTGTGAATGAAGATTACCAGATAGAGGTCCCAGTTTACTGGCCACAACCTCTGTAGAAGCAGGGGAGCCAAAAATTAAGACCTCAGTCTTAGACTCATTTAACTGAAGGAAGTTGGCAGACATCCACTCTTTAACATCTCTCAGACAATCAAACAGACACTGTAAACTGGAGACATCCTTTGGGTGCAAGGGACAATAGAGACTGTGAAACACCCAAGTACAATACATTACAATAATCTAATCTGGATGAGATAAAAGCATGTATTACAGACTCCATGTCTTTTATTGTTAAAAATGACTTCATCTTTGCAATATTCTTTAGCTGATAAAAACAACTTCTAACCACAGCATTGATCTGTTTATCAAAAGTCAAAGCAGAGTCAAAAGTAATGCCTAAGTTTCTGACATGTGAATGAAGATTACCAGATAGAGGTCCCAGTTTACTGGCCACAACCTCTGTAGAAGCAGGGGAGCCAAAAATTAAGACCTCAGTCTTAGACTCATTTAACTGAAGGAAGTTGACAGACAGCCACTGTTTAACATCTCTCAGACAATCAAACAGACACTGTAAACTGGAGACATCCTTTGGGTGCAAGGGAACATAACACTGAGTATCATCTGCGTAACAGTGGTATGAAACATTGTGCCTCTTAAATATAGCATACAAAGGAAGCATGTATAAAGAAAATAGAACAGGACCCAAAATTGAGCCCTGTGGAACCCCATACAAAACTGGTGCACAAGATGATGAATATTTGTCTCTACAGAGAAGGTTCGATCCTTTAAATAGGATACAAACCAGTTTAACACACGTCCTTGAATCCCAATTTGCTGTAAGCGATTTAAAAGAATGCCATGATCGAGAGTGTCAAATGCCACACTGAGGTCCAGCAAAATTAAAACAGCACAATTGCCGGAATCGACAATAAGTCGTTTAATACCTTTAACAATGCAGATTCCGTACTGTGTTGAGGTCTGAAGCCAGACTGATATTTATCGAAATTACTATTTTCCTGTAGAAAAGAAGAAAGTTGATTAAAACAACCTTCTCCAAAACTTTTGATAAAAACGGCAATTTAGAAATGGGACGGTAATTATTTAAAACTGTTGGATCAAGATTTGTTTTTTTGAGTAGCGGCTGCACTGTGGCATGCTTAAAATAGGATGGGACTATTCCACGGTTTAAACTGCTATTAATTATTGACAGTAAACTAGGACTAATAGTGTCAAGTGTCTCTAATAAGAGACGAGGAGGAACAACATCCAATGAACAAAAAGTGGGCTTCATTTTATAAATAATTTGCACCAGGTAACTGTGAGACACTGGAGTAAATTCAGATAAATATGTAGAAATTGATGTGGACTGGGGGAAGTCCAGAGAGGAGGGAACAATACATGATCTTATAACATCGATCTTGTCAGTAAAAAACTTAAGAAAGTTTTCACAGGCTATAGGAGACGGATCCGGATATAAATTAGACATCGGATTTAGCACACTATTGATGGTATTAAATAATATTTTTGGACTATGAGCGTTTTTAGCAATGAGATCAGAGAAATAATTCGCCTTTGCAATCTTAACAGTTTTTTGATAGTGAATCATACACTCTTTGACGCAGTTATATGATATTTGTAATTTATCCCTCTTCCACTTTCTTTCCGCTTTTCTCCATTTCTGTCTAATCGCCCTAGTTTCATCATTAAACCAAGGATGTACACAAATTCTAGGTCTTTTCAATTTAAAAGGGGCAACAGCGCCTAAATGTGATTATGGGATTTAAAAATGGGGGGATTCCTCCAGTCAGACTTATGAAGGAGTCACTCAGTTACTCTCACACATTATGAGAAATTCTTTACGTAGTCTGATCAGACACAGTCAACAAGCTCATCTCTTCACTTCTCTTTTACAGCCAATCTTTAAACGAGTGCTCCAAATGAATGCACTCACCACCACTTACTCTTGGTAGGAATGCTGAGGACAGAGTGGAGTGGGTTGAAATATCTTATTTATGCTGGTCAGGCCCTCTTACTGTGCCACATCCAAATGTAAGTGTGTGTGGCTGACAGGCTACAACAAATTCAGTGCTTTTTCACTTTGTAAATTTAACTCAAATCTGAACTCAATCCAACATGAGATAATGGATATTGATTATGAGTTACAAAATCACAGTTGTTTACTACACCATACTTCTGTAGCTACAACGAATACCACATTTCAGCTTGTCAACCTGATTACCCTCTCAGTAATGCAGAACATCATGCAACAGCCTAAATGCAAGTGTGTTTAAAACTGTGTTTAAAACATTTTGTTGTTGTGGTTTTGTTTTTTTGTTTTTTACTACAATGTAACATATATGTTTTAGACCTTTTTTTATGCACATACTGTTTGGGGGTTGGGGGTGCAACATTTATTCAGGAGGTTGAAATAATTTTTTTAGGACTTCAATAATTATTTTTTTTATTATTGTATTTATTATTTTTATTTTTGATAAGAAAGAATATATATATGACATATTATTCTTGCACAGATAAGAATATGCTCTGTTTAAAGGTTATGTGCTGGGGAAAACACCTATCAAGTTCATTAAACAGCACAAGCACTTTTTCTGTTGTAGCTCACTCTGTGACACAAATCAAACAAATAGATTATGAAATCCAGTATCAAGTATTTTCATTATGGATTAGTTGTTGCAGCCCTACTGTATATTCTTCTGTGGATTATTCAACTCCCTTACAAAATCATTCAACTGTAGCTATATGCTAAAAGCCATAGAATCAATCATGCTTAACGTCACAAAAGCAAATAAAAACTGTTGTGTATTTACATATAAGTAAGATGTGATTAAGCCGAGCTGATAGACAAAAACAAAAGCAAGCTTTTGAATGAGTGTGCTCCTGTTTGTCTGGGTGGATATAACTTATCCTCACAGGAGTCTAATGGAAAAACATAAAGATTTGCAAAATGTTGCATGGGGTATTGGTCGTTATGCAACCATGGTGAAGAAGTGTGTTTGTTTCTACACGCATCTTTGCAAAGAATGCAGTGTGATGAGATTTTATAATGTCTCCAGATGGTTGAGCTGCATTTGAATAAGCAAATAAAAACTGTTGTGTATTTACATATAAGTAAGATGTGATTAAGCCGAGCTGATAGACAAAAACAAAAGCAAGCTTTTGAATGAGTGTGCTCCTGTTTGTCTGGGTGGATATAACTTATCCTCACAGGAGTCTAATGGAAAAACATAAAGATTTGCAAAATGTTGCATGGGGTATCGGTCGTTATGCAACCATGGTGAAGAAGTGTGTTTGTTTCTACACGCATCTTTGCAAAGAATGCAGTGTGATGAGATTTTATAATGTCTCCAGATGGTTGAGCTGCATTTGAATGATTCCCAAACGAGAGATTTTGAAAACAGGTTACATGTGTGATTTCAGGCAGGTCTAGAAAGATGGTAAGGTGGAAGGGAAGAAAAGGTGAGTTAAATCTGATTTCTGATTCTGTGACATTAATCCAGAAGGATGTTACTTAAACAAGCTTCCTACCTGCTCTGTTCATTTCTAAAATCTCCTCCTGGGCAGCAAGAGCGCAATGGTCACTTTGTGGGCTGTGGTGGGGTGAGTTCATGGCAGACTTACAGTAATTAGGTGAGCCCGGCTGGGGGGCACGGGGAATATGCTTGTTCTTTTTCTTTGGTAGCTTCTGCTTAGCCATGGCTAGAGAGTAGTACATCCCAAAGTTATTGACGATGACAGGCACAGGCATGGCAATGGTTAATACACCCGCCAGAGCACACAATGCGCCCACCAACATGCCTGACCAGGTCTGAGGATACATGTCTCCATAGCCCAATGTGGTCATAGTCACAACAGCCCACCAGAAGCCAATGGGGATGTTTTTGAAATGGGTGTGCTCGCTGGCACGTGGGTCATTGGGATTGGCACCGATTCGCTCGGCGTAGTAGATCATGGTGGCAAAGATTAGAACTCCGAGCGCCAGAAAGATGATGAGCAGGAGGAACTCATTGGTGCTGGCGCGGAGGGTGTGTCCCAGCACTCGCAGGCCCACGAAGTGTCGCGTCAGCTTGAAGATTCGGAGGATCCGAACGAATCGCACTACTCTGAGGAAACCCAGAACGTCCTTTGCTTCGGAAGAGGACAATCCGCTCAGGCCCACCTCCAGGTAAAATGGCAGGATGGCCACAAAGTCTATGATGTTTAGGGTGTTTTTGATGAATTTCTTTTTGTCTGGACAGAAGGTGACACGCATGAGGAACTCAAAGGTGAACCACACCACACACACTCCCTCGATGTAGGTTAGGTAGACCACCGTCTCTGTCTCCAAGTGAAACCTGGAGCTGTTGTCTTTAGGGTTAATATATGTGCGGTTAATGATGGGGTTGAAGGCCTCGTGTGTCTCCAGGCAGAATGTGGTTATGGAAACCAGTATGAAGAACAGCGAGGCAAATGCCACCCACTGCAGGAGAGAGAGAACAAGGGAAAGGAATGAGAAGGGAAAAACACAATGGTAATGTAAAAGGCATTTTGTTTGCATCCTTCCTAAAGAGGCAGGCTTAAACAGACATCTTTTGTAGCATTATACATTTCTTTACTGTAAATTTTGATCGATTTGCAGAATAAAAAGTATTCATTTCTTTAAAAAAAATCTTGCCGCCCAAAAGATTTTAAACAACAGTGAAATTAAAATATCAAAAGACTACCAAAAAAGCTAATTCTGCCATCTAGAAGAATGTGCTGTGTGTAGACTGTGAGTACAGAAATCTAAACAAATACAGAATAAAGTTACAGGCAAACAAACAGTAATGAAAAAACACACTCTCAAACACAAGCTAATGAAAAGCTAACAGAATAGCAACTGGATAAACAAGTCAGACCCAATTGAGCAGCGCTTCTATGGTGGTTTTGATATCATTGTCAATTTCTGTTCATTTGACAACAGAGAGATCACCTTATGATCAAAGGTGCATTTATTTAGAAAAGAAAAAAAATGTCTTAATGTTTAATGGCATTTAGGCCCCAGTCTGTGTGTTAATTAAAGGTTAAGCACAAAAAAGTACACACTACAACACTATGACTTTTCATATACCAGTCAGAAACTATTTATCTAAATAAACATAAACAACTCTGCCTGCAACTCATGGGATCTGAACCACTTTTTTTCCCCTCACATCCTCTGACTCGTTTAGGCACTCATTCTCTTTGGAGTTTGATGAAAATAGCAATGCAATAATAATTGCAACATGCCACAAAATTTCTTGTTTCTTTGTTTCATATAAATGCTGCTCCATAACTCTTCTCTGAAACGATGGTGAACTGAGCTTAAAAATGTATTACTTCAGTCCAGCCAATCAATTGGTTCAGCATCAGTTACCATCAGTGATACAAGAATGGAAACCAGGTCAATGTATCACAAATGACATGCCACTTTTACATTCAATAAGGTATCATATAACATATCTCAGAATCATTAAAGGAACAAAAAGGAACAATAAGAAGTAAATTTGACTAAGTGAACTTGATTTTTACTGTTAACATGACTGCAAGAATGTATCCTCAAGCAGCCCTCTCATACAATTTTATTTTTTATTGTCATAGCATATTTGCTACATTTGAAGTACAATGGGTTCTCCGCCTGTTAGCATGTCCTTACATTTCTTTACAGGTGAGCAGAATGGTCCGCATAACATGGCCTTGTGCAAGCCTCCTACAGCATGTCCCACGCATGAAGACACCAAGACCACATGGTTGAGCAACACTTCCAGTCTCAGTGGTGAAACTCAATGCAGCAACACCATAGCACAGGTGTAATGGTGCAGTGCATTGCAGCAGACGTATATCAGAGGAAGCAAAAACTAATGATGACCTAACCCTTGACTGACCTGAGGCCTGTAACATACATGATGTGTCCCATTGTGCCTACTTATACTACGCCCTTAAAGTATGTAATTTTTAGGTGAGAAAAAAGTACACACTTTTGAGTGTGTAGTAGAAGAGTAGGCAAGCTTTGGACATACTATCACTTCATACAATTGCGTCTTTAACGGACCGCTCCGTCGCACAGTAAACTGTAAACTGGCCTGTCAATCATCTTTTCACAGTTTATATCCTCCACTTTTAATTTAATTTAACTTCCTACCATATCGGAGAGAAAAGAAGTAGCACGTTGATCTGCGAGCCTCGGGTCTTCATGCAGAAAACTCTGCTCATATTTTCTGCATAATAATGTATTTAAAAGTTAACGAACAAATGGATGTTTGTACAACTGCCACAAATACGATTAGAGGATGACTGCTGCTGTCTATTCTCGTCCTCGTTCAGGTAGAGGCGTCTGGCATCTCAAACGAACTTACCGAATACCGATCAGCGAGATTTGCCGCTTGAAGTCGAGGAAGGAGTTGAAAACGGAGCACTGCAGTCACTGATTCCCGCGACTCTCGCGCACTGTTTGCTGTCTTTATTGCAGTTAGATGAAGTTGGTTAAAAAATATTTCTCAAATAAACAAACGTTTTAGACATTTACATGTGGTAACAGAAAGCCTTTTCATTCAGTAATTTATGTCCTGCTTAATACAGCGCCTGTATGTACAAGAATAGTTCAACATAAGCTTGTACTATTTAAATATCAATAAAATGGGGTCTATAATTTTCCGTTTTATTAATGTAATTCAGGAATAAATATTAAATATATTAAGTTTATATAAAAAGCTTTTAAAGTTAAAAACAGATGCCAGCATGTGTGTAAATAAATATAAAACGCAGGTCAGCTGTTTTTTATTTTGTGTGAACACATAATCGTTGTCATACAAATCTGAAAGCAAGCAGTTGCGGCAAGCAAGCCACCCATCTAAAGCAGATGCGGAAAAACGTTCGCAAAAATAACCCGACTGTAAGTACATTAACATTATTAGTCTTAACTCTTAAATAACGCCTTTCATATTTCAAGTTTTTCCTACATTTTCCCGAGAAGTCTCCAGTGTAAAGGTATAACGGAAGTACAGATACACTGCTTTGCGGGAAAGCGGAAGTTAGCTGACGTCACTGTGAAAAGGGCCTATATTAGCCATTAGAGTGTGCACGGATCCACACTTCAAAATTCGACCTGAAATAGTAGACCATCTGGGGACTTTTGGCACTCTTTTCAACATACTATGCTTTGGGACACACTTATTTTAATCTCAGACTATTTAGGATGGACAGTATGAACATTGGGACACAGGGACAGTTCAAACTCAAGGACATTCCTACCATATCGGAAAACGTTTTCACATCTAGCTGTAGTTTCCAGGAGTTTCCTTTTTTTTTTTTTTTTACATTTATTTATTTATTTTTAATTAATACTTTTATTCAGCAAGGACACATTAAAACTGAAAAATGGATGCTGTTCTTTTCAACTTTTTATTTAAAAGTTTCTTTAATAAAAGATCATAGTTTCCACAAATATATTAAGAGGTACAATTGTTTTCAACATTGAAAATAATAAGAAATGTTTATCGAGCATAGAATGATTTCTGAAGGATCACATGACACTGAAGATTGAAGTAATGACTGCTGAAAATGTAGCTTTACATTTTAGCATAAATTACATTTAGAAAACAGTTATTTTAAATTCTAATAATATTTGACCATTTTAAATGGTAGTAATATTTCACTTTTTTCACAATTTTACCTTTTACTTTTTCTTTACTTTATTATATTTAGAGTGCTTAAACTGCTGCATTAGGTTTTTGACATTTCTTTATTCATTCATTCATTTTTTTCAGCCAATTCCTATTTAATAAGTCTTATATTTTTCAATATTACCTATTTCAGGAATTTTAGGAACCTTGTTTTCTAATGTTTACTTTTTAAAAATATTTATATATTAATATGAATTATTATTATAATTTTTTTTACAATGTAATTTTTACATTACAGAAGTGCAATGGATTGAAAATGCTAATTCATATTGAACTTGTTGTTCATTAAAAAGTCATTATATTTAGAGCATATCAATTGTTTCCTTGTTAATTTTTTCCTTTTTTTTTTTTTTTTTTTTTTTTTTTTTTTTTTTGGTGCACATACGAGAATTTAAAACATTACAAACAGTATTGAACAGTATTGTTTAATGCTGTTTGATTTAATCAAATCACAGGCTAAAATTGCTGGGTTCTCATTAGCAGTTATAATTCATCAACACAATTGCCATTAAAACATTAGTAAATCCATTTCTGTGAAGCTGACAGGTGGCTGAATCTGAATGACCAGTTCATGCAATGTCCATGTTCAATGGCTTTGTCAGCACAATTGTTTAGCCATGATATTGAGTCTTTTCTCTTTCTATTCAAACAGATGAATTACCCCTGCTGGTCTGGACTGTTTGGGTTTAGAATCATGTTACCCTGCTTACTGCCATCAAAAGATTAACGACTAGTTACCCGAAACTCTCTTGGTCAGTGGATCTGCCTCAACAAAACACACAACATTGTGTGTGGACGGATTGTGGTCTGATTAAAATGCTGAAGACTAAGTACTCTGAAGTTCACTCAGTATACTACAGCGTGCATTAATATATTTCTTTTTTAATAAAATATGAACTTCATAAGGTTTTATGGGATTACATGTTTGTTTCATTCAGGCAAATGGCAAAGTTGCTGTTTTCTGCAGTGACAAAACACTCAGCCCACATGAAACAAGCTGTTATTTTATTGCTATAATAAATATGAAGGTTCAAATCACATTATTAAACATGAATTGGAGTGATACAATAAAAGCACAACTTTTTTGGCCATTGCCAAAGCATTTCTGCTGCACTGAATGGCAAAATGGAGAGAGTGCAAGAGGGACAGACGGAGGGAAAAAGAAGGGAATTGGCTCATTCAAGTGTCTCAGAAATAGCACAAAATCCTCCCCCTTCTCCCTTACATCACCTTTTACTCTCATTCTCTGGTTGTACCTCTCTTCCTGGAGATGAAAGCTTGTCACGTTCTCTTATGTAACCAAACACAGTCTAACACATAGTGGACCCACATTAGGGACTGTGTCTGTATTTCTGGATTCATGTGTTTTGCGTCTGCAGGGAGGGCCTGTGTATTGGGCTTTTCGTACATGGCTGTGAGTGTTGGCACTGCTGTGCTTTCATTTTTGGACAATAATGTCCCACTGGGGCTTGATAAAGACAGTTGGGGAGTCCTGATTAATTCCTACCAGTTTATGACCATCTGTATTAAGTATAAAGGAGCTGGTGGCAAAGCTGGTTTCTTTCTTTAGGAAAAATAGCGAAACCACAAAAATCACGACACATGTCATTTTGCATTATTGACACACTATTTTCCTAATTAATGCTGTTCAGTTGCTTTGACACAATCTGTATTGTTAAAAGCGCTATATAAATAAAGGTGACTTGACTTGACTTGACAAATCTTGAGTCACGTACAGTATCTGTAGACTGTTTATAATTGCTATTTTGGCTATTATAGC